CTGTGATGGCTTAGGGCTAACTAAGAGCCACAGTACTGTAAGATATGGCTGTTGCGTAAAACTATCTGCTGCTGTGCAGAACTACCTCCTTTGTATATCAACACCTACCAGAATTAAGCCTGAGTTCACTGCGTGAAACCCCTTAGATACTGATTTGTATAACTGGCCTTCTTCTTTGCCTCCCATATTTATATCTAAGAAAAGAAATCGATTTTTTGTTTTAAAGCAAGAAAACTGGGTCATTTTATTGGAAGGGAACGTATTATATTCTGTGTGTTTGTTATGCTCACAGTTCCTATCTGAATAAAGTGCCCAGAAGTGTCTCCTTGTGCGTTAGTGGCCATGCCCTGTATGATGTAGTTCAAATGTCCTAGCTAAAACTAGGTCTGAGATCGGCACTTGAGCTCAAGAGAGCAGTCTTTAGATTTCCCAAAAACCTATTAAATATCGTTATCTTGAGAACAATGTCCGATAGGGATACCTTGCTATAAACTGGCTGACTAATCTATTCAATGCCCCTTTCTTGGGAGAGTATAAATAGGAGAAAAAGACGGAAACTCAAACAACACAGCTTTCATAAATTGACACAGAGAAAATGAATCAGCAAAGGCCATTGAGATAGAGAAGCAAACGGAGAGAGAATAGCCAGTAGCTATAATAGAAGTAGACCTAGACACAATAAGCTGACAGAAAGAAGCTGACTATCTGGGCCTTTGAAGCAATCAAGACAAAGCAATGAAACTCTCACTATGAAGCAGACAAGATAAGCTGCCATCTTAATCTGAATGATGTTCTATTTCTTTATGAGTGCGAATTGTTTAGCTACTGAGAAAGTGTTTTTGGCTTCTTACTTTCCTATATAATATTATAAGTCACATCAACTGAATAAACTAATGAGTCTCTTTATTTTAATCCTAAAGAACCTAAACACAAAAATTATCTAGTGCAGTGGTCCTCAGTGTGATTCCCAGACCAACATCATCATTATCATCTGGGAATTTGTTAGAAATGCAAATTCTTGGCCCCATTCCAGATCACTGAATCAGAAACTCTGGAAGTAGGACCTGGAAATCTGTGTTTTACACCCTCCAAATGATTCAAGGTACACTAAAGTTTGCAAACAACAAATCTAGTAATCTAGTGTGGCCCTCTTTATAAGTTATGAAAATAATGTGTATTCTTGACTGGGCACCTACTATGTGCCATAAATTGCACCAAATTATTATATATATTCAATTCTGATAATCACCCAGAAATATAGATATTATCATTTCTATTTTACAAATGATGAACTAGTAATTTAAAGAGGAGGAGTAACTTTTCCAAAGACACATATCTTTGGACACACACGCATACATACACGCACACATATATGCACACCCACATACGGGTGGCTGAATTGAGGTTAAGAATTTAATATCTCATGTGTCTGACTAACGCCATTGCACTGTCTACTATTATGTAATACTTCCTAAAAATGAGATATGTAAGGATTATGATTTGCTCATTGTTGCTCCAAAAATCAGTTTCAGAGCCAAGACAAAACCTAGATTTGCTGTCCCTTGTTCTGTCTGTTTTATGTAATACAGACTGCCATTTCATATAGAATCATGGAATATTGCTGTAACTTTCATTAAAGACTGTGCTTAATATTCAATTCTCATAATTATTATGAATAAATTAACATTTGCAAACTAGAAGGACCTACGAAAGAGCTATAATCTGCTAATTGAACAAAATCTGAATGTACAACATAAAATAAACATAAAATTAAAAAATAAAATATTCAAATAAATAAGAATATTCAAAAAGAATAATAAAGTAAAAAGTAATCACAAAACTATAAATAATTCAGGAACTACTTTAACAGAGCTGCTCAAGAACCTCATGAAAAAATTTAAAACTAGGGCCGGCCCCGTGGCTTGGTGGTTAAGTGAGCGCGCTCCACTGCTGGCGACCCGGGTTCGGATCCCGGGCTCGCACCGACGCGCTGCTTCTCTGGCCATGCTGAGGCCGCGTCCCACACACAGCAACTAGAAGGATGTGCAGCTACGACACACAACTATCTACTGGGGCTTTGGGGGGAAAAAATAAATAAATAAAATCTTTAAAAAAAAAAAAATTTAAAACTATATGTAACAGTATTAGAGAAGACTGGGATAAATTGAAAGATATACCACGTTAATGGATGAAATGACAACTTTCATATATGTGATTTCTTTCTCAAATAATCTATGAATTCAATGCAGTATAATCAATACTATGTAAAGAATTTTGTTTTTTTAGCAAATGGCAAATTGATTCTAAAATTATTATGGCAGAATAAGAGCGTGAATAGATAAAGAGCATTGGTCCTAGTACACGTTAAGACAGGCTACAAAGCCATAGTATTAAAAACAGTATAGCATTTCCTCAGGACAGATAAATAGACCAGTGGAACAGAAGGGAGGACTCAGCAACAGGTTAATGTATATAAGAACTTGCTATATGATAGAAGAGGCACTGCAAAGATAGTAATTCAGTAGATATGATGACAAATTTGGTTCTCTATATGGTGAAATGAAGTTTAATCTCTACTTCGTATCATGCACAAAGGCAGTTTCTAAGTTTCTAGGTTAATAAAATGTGATTAGAAAAAAACAACACAGTTAATGTTAAAAACGAAAGAAATATCTTGTGACATAGAGGTAGGAAAAGTTAAACGATTGTATTAGCATAAAATATGAAGTAAAAATTTGTGGATTAGAGTATATCAAGTCAAAGATTTCTGTTCTATGAAGGAAACTGTAGACAATGTTAAAAGATGAGTGACAGATATCTAAATCCAATAAGAGATTACTATTTAGAATAAACGTGGAATTCTTGGAACATCTACACAAGAATTTCAGGAAGCCTGGTAGAAATATGAATAAGCAGTTCACACACACAAAAGAATCCTAAATAGCTAAGAATTATATGAAGAAACAGTCAGTTACATTTGAAATTAGAGAATACAAAATAAAGTGTTGTGATACTACTTTACATTCATCAGCATGGCAAAATTTTGAAAGCCAGCTAATGATGTCAAGTGTTTGCAATTATGTGGGGTATACCAGTTAACTAATGGTTACATCACAAATCACCCCAGAACTCAGTGGCTTAAAATAATAGAACATCTATTTTACTCTTGAATCTGCAATTTGGGCAGGGCCTGCTTTCAGCTCTTCTTGTGGTCAGCTGGAGTGATCCAAGTCTGGGGGTTGGAATCATCTGAAGTTTTGTTCACTCAAATATTAGCTTTTGATACTGGCCGTTTGCCTGAACATCCACACATGGCCTCTCCATCTGGCCTGGGCTTTCTCAAAACATGGTGACTGAATTCAAGGACTGGAGTCCTGAGAGAGTGAGAGTTCCCAGCAGAAGTCATATTGTCATTTTATGACCCAACCTCAGAAGTCATGCAGTATTACTTGCTTTGTTGAGGCAGTCAAAAAGGCCTTTCCAGGTTCAATGTCTCTTGATGTGGGAATGGCAAAGTTCTGGAAGGGGATGGGGAACTGGAAATATTGCTCTGATGAATTTTAGAAAGTGAGCTGTTACATGAAGAAAATGAAACTCGCCTACATTTTGGTGGGAGTGTAAACTCCTACATTCTGGAGAAAAAATCCAGAGAAATAATGGAATGAAGTATGCCAAATCTCAATGCCCTGGCAATCCCTTTCTAAGATATATACCTCCAAAGACACTCTATCCTAGGTCCTTACGGGTGCATGCACAGGGATGTTTAATGTAGCATTGTTTGTGACAGTAGGGAGTTGAAGTCAACCCAAGCCTGTAACCCTATGGGAGTGGTTAAATGTGCTGGAATTACACTATGTAAAGTTAAATAGCACTCAGAAGATGAATAAGACGAGTATGCAGAATATGATTAGATTTTAAAAACAATGTTTAGGGCTAGAAAAAGAAATTTTGTAAGTTAATTAAAAAATATACAAACATAAAACACCACCAAATATTTTCAGATATATACATATCCAGGAAATACACATATTAGTTTGGAAGTAAATATTTTAATGTAATTTACTGTCATGTTAATTACTCTGTGTAGTGTAATAGTATAATAGGTAATAGTAAAGCATCACTACAGATTCTGAATAAGTTCAAAAAATATACTATAATGGAGAATTTAAATGACTTCTTTCTTTATGTATATGGAATTCCCAGGAGTAAAATACTGTAGAATCTTGACTGTAATCCTAGTGATTTTCTTTGAGTGTTACTTAAATTTTCTTTGTTTTGTTTTTTAGTTAAATAAAGAGATTTGCTAAGGAAAAAATAGATGAGGGGCCTGCCTGGTGGCATAGTGGTTAAGTTTGCACGTTCTGCTTCGGCGGCCCTGGGTTTGCTGGTTTGGATCCTGAGTGCGGACCTACTCACCACTCATCAAGCCCTGCTAAGGCGGCGTCCCACGTAGAAGAGCTACAACTCCACAACTATGACACACAACTATGTACTGGGGCTTTGGGGAGAAAAAAGAAAAAAAGAGCAAGATTGGCAACAGATGTTAGCGCAGGGCCAATCTTCCTCAAAAAAAAAAAAAAAGTAGTTCCTTGTGAACATGCCTCTTAAACTGAGAGGAAAGCGTGTCTTAGGGAGCAACTGCCTAACCTTATAAAAAAAAAAAGCAAAAATAGATGAAAGTAAAGGGAAATTCTAGATACCTGATTAATGATATTTTTCCTTAATCTTTCTAGAAAATTGCCAGACCCACAAATAAAAATTATAGGTGGTATGGTGATCAAATTACAAATAAAAATCGTTCAAACACTACATGTCTTTTATCGTATGTATATATTGATGAATAGCAAATTTATGTTTGGATTTTTATATATGTGCATTTTCAGTTCAGGTTGGGAAAGGTAAATTTTTTGTGGATTGGTCATTAACATATAGGTGAGTATATCTATTCCTCTTTACCTAACAAAATAAAATAATTCATATGTAACTTATTTATATTTCAGATGCTGTTGAAGAATTCAATGTTTGTGTGCCTATCTCTGTCCAGAGCTTCAGAATCTTTAATTATGATTGGAGCTTCTGAATTTTTGCCTTTATATATAGAAAATCAATTTATGCTAACACCCAGTGAGGCAACTACACTTGCAGGTACTTTTCTGCTCATTGTACTTATTTTGAAATTTTTCTGTCAAGCTTTCTTATATGTATTTATGAAATATTTTAAATAAGCTGAAAGTAGAAGGAGTATTAGCGTTTGCTTGAATTTTAAATATCTAAATACTGTTTGCTCAAATTTTAAAAATGTGAGCACTTTGCCATCATTGCATCAATATTTTTTAACACATAGACCCTTCTAAGACTCCTGCACCCCTCCCTTATCCTATTTCTCTTCCTCCCTCTCGATAGGTAACCACTCTTCTAAAGTTAGAGTGCATCCTTCCCACACGTTTGTATATTTTTACTGCATATGTGCCTATCTATATACAGTCCAAAATTCATGTATCATTTTGTACATACTCTTCTATTACTTTCATCTGAAATTATGTTCATCAGATTCATATTGATCTCCATTTAATGCATTTTAACTGTGCTGTGGGATTCTATCTTATGAATATACCACTATTTATTTATCCATTATCATATTAATGGCCATGAAGTTGCCCCCAGATTTTTCACTCTTCCAAACAATGTGTTAATGAATAGGCTTGTACATGTCTCATTGTGCACATTTGTGAAAGTTGATCCAGGTTTAGACATTGAAAGGGAATTGCTGTTGTGTACATCTTCAGTTTTACTAGATATTGAGAATTGGCTGTCTAAAAGAAGTTACAAATGGAATGAAATGTTTTAAGGTTCTGGCATTAATGAGAAAGTGGTAAATGTAATCATTTATTTTATGCTGTAGAAAGTCAAGGATGCATGCTGTAACTTTTAGGGTAACCAGTAAAAGAATAATAAAAAGAATAGCAAAAGAGTATATTAATTTGAAAAATTTGATTGATGATAAAAAAGACAGAAGGAACATAAAACATACGGACTAAATAAAAAGCAAATGTTAAGATGTGCAAAAACATTGACTGTCAGTCTATTATTAAGTTTTGTGATGGAGGGCACACCGTTGTCAGACTGCAAATAGTTCAAAAGCCAAAAACATGACACAGTTTCAAGGGCCATAATGACAAATTTTTCCATGAGTACACCACATTGTTTGCCACTCTGATTAATCTAATCACCAGAGATTGGGACTAAATCCATTCAATTTGTTTCATAAAGTATTTAATTAAGGCTAATATCAACAGGATAAGGCCACCTGCAGTATTGGCCTCAACCACGCCAGCAAGGTCCTGGACCCAGCCAGCTAAAAACAACACTTGATCCTCAAGGTCTACCTTAGAAAGCAAGATGGCTTTCTCCTTAAATTTCTCTACTGACCTTTCCACTTAGCCTGAGGTATTAATGCAGGTATAAGAGAATATATTAGCAATTGTATATATTCTACCTTGGCCTGCAAAGATGAAGTTTTGGGTAATTCTATTGTCCATAACAATGCTGATCAGTGACTGAGGCTGACTAGAGTGCTGGATTTCCAGGGATTAGGTGGTGTCATTGATTATTTCAACTAAAGTCAGGGACAAATTTTGTACCACCTTTTTAATTGGATTACTCTTATCGTAGAGAGAAATTGCCCTCAGGGTACATATAAATAATGTGTCAGTAATCCCTCCAGAGAGCACTCCTAAGTAACCAGGAGAAACTTCTTTTAAGAGAGATTTCCATAGTCTTTTGAGGACTGTATGATCTACTGGTGGTATTTCTTTAAACACTTGAAGATCTTATGACCACTCCTATGACTGGATACCATTTCCAGTTGACAAGTAAGGCTTGTCAAATAGTTGAGTCTGATTTTGTCCATCTCCAAATGAGAATATCAGTCCACAGAGTCACAAGGCCTCCATGGGTCAGAGCTTCGGTTTTGACAAGAAGCCAGTAGTAAGCTAAGAGTTGCTTTTCAAATGTAGCTGTCTCAGGGGGTCGATAATTTCTATACCCTAAGGGATGCTTCCTAGTGGAGGCTGCCTTTTTTTTGCAGAAGCTCCAGCACACAAAATCATCAGACATGGAGACTTGTAGCTCAAAGGAGTCATTAGGTTTGTGGTACCTTGAAGTAGAGGGTATCCCACAGCTTGCTGTGTAGCTTCCAGTGTAGGTCTGTGGATTACACTCACTGTGGGTTGGCTGATAATAAAAGACCAAGTAGAATGCCCAAGTGAGTCATCTACTATCTCCAATACTCAGTCCAAAGTGATGCTAGGCTGCCTTTTGTTTGGGGACAAGAGAGACAACAGTTTTTCCTTAAGTGCCGGAGGGATCGAGCATTGTGAATCTGTCTGCATAGTCCGTGAAAACTCTATGAGCAGTCTTCTGGTTTCTGCTTTATCAATCGCCCTTGCTGATGAAGGTGTGGTAACACCAAAGTCAGAGCCATTGAGTCTGAGGCTTCTGACCCTCCAACTGACTGAATATCCTCTCTGTGTGAAAGCTTTGGGCATCAGAGGGTAGTGGTAGTCACAATAAATCCTGACTTAGCCCCTTGTAGTAAGTGGCAGAGGAGTTTGGGTACCCCTGAGGGAGTACTACAAATGTGTATTTGTGGCCGTGCAGCATGAAAGAGAATTGGTCTTTGTCTTTGGGTGCTACTGGGATACAAAAGAAGGCTTTGGTGATGTTCAAGACAGCATATCAAGTGCCACCAGTCTGTGCCATAAATTTAGTTACACCACAATATCTGGAATGTACAGGGCTATAGAAGCAACAACTGAATTCAATTGATTGTTAATCCACTGTAAACCTCAAGCCCTTGATAACTTCTTTCACTGGACGTATGGTCTGTTGAATTGAGATACTGCATCTCTTACTACCTCTGCTTCCTTTAAGTCCATAATCAAAGCTGGGACTTTCCTTTCTCCTCCTGGGATTCTATGTTGTTTCTATTGGACCACACAAGAGGAGACAGAGAGACAGTTTGGGTAGCAATTTATGTGTTCCACAGTCACTTTTTTTTTTCCTGAGGAAGATTTGCCCTGAGCTAACATCTGTGCCAATCTTCCTCTATTTTGTATGTAGGTTACCACCACAGCATGGCCACTGACAAGTGGGGTAGGTCCATGCCTGGGATCCAAACCCAGGCCGCTGAAGCAGACCGCACCAAACTTAACCACCAGGTCATGGGGCCAGCCCCTCCTCTATCACTTTTGGCATCTAGGAGCATATATGGTATAAGCTTATAAAATATAATTACCAATGATATGTTTTGAAATTGGAGTCATAGGATTAGTATATGGAAACCACAACAAAAGTACACTGAAATTGTCCAAAGCCTCACCCATAAGGTCCTTTTACCTCATTTTCTGAGGCAGTAAGAGTCCAAATTCTATTGAGTACCTCACCTGTGGTTTCACACAAGAATATGTCTGTCTTAGGGAAATCTTCCTGAGAGGGTCACAGCTACCTTATAGCACTGAGGACACACAGCAAAACAACTCTGAGATCTTTTACTTTTGTCTTAGAATGGATCCAAGGTTAGCAGGATAGACTGTAGGAGGAGCTGGGCCCTCAGACGTCTCAGCTATTACCATTTCACCTAACAAGCAATTATGCACTCCACTCCCGCATCAACCAACCAAATCAGCTAACCTTCTAATTAGTCACCGGTTTCTGTCCATAGTGGTTGTAAATTTCCCTCCTTTCCCACGCGTGTAGTTGCACGTCTCTGTAACTGTTATCTGAAATCAGGAGGAATCCTCTGTCCAAGCAAGATGAATCTTAGTAACAGCTGTTACAATGGGGCAGACCTGAGGCTGATGGCCAGATTGGCAAGGAAGTCCCTTTGCCTAGAGGAGAGTTAATAACAACCATTACACCTTCTGGGGAGCTGTCTTTAAATCTTCAGCCTGTGGCCACCTCTCCAGTTCTTCATCATTAACAGGCTAAGTCATGATGTTCCCTACTGATTGCCAGTTATTTCTCTAAATGCTGTTAATTGGCCTATGAGGCTCTTATTCTTCTTCTTACAGAAAACCATGTCTCTGTCAACATCCCATCTTTGTCACCAAAAGTCCTAAGATCCATGAAGGGTTTGAATTTTACCCTGCTTGAAAGCTCACAAGTTAGTCTACCATAGTTTCATGGATGCTAGCAGAAAACATAGAACTCCTTGGTCAGAGAAGGAAAGTTTATGACTCACAGCAATAGCACTAGTTAGAGTATCTCTGTGTGTGTGTGTGTGTGTGTGTGTGTGTGTGTGTGTATGTGAGTTTTCTGAGCCACATTTCCCCTGGGGTATGTGAAGGAGAGCCAGTGACATCTGCACACACAAGATTGCATTACAGGAGTGGATTGCATTACATTCCCTGGTCTTAGGGAACCCAAATCTTTTATGATGGACAGTAATCATGCTTGCCTTTTGATCCAGGGAGAGACTTTATCTTTATTATACTTGACAGCAAGCATGTCTTCTCTTAGTTCCAGAGAGGATACTATCTCTGTCTTCCAAAACTCTAAGCAAACCTGCCCTCTGTTCTCAAGGGGGACACTATCTTCATTATCCAAGGCTATTCACTATATAAATATCCTTGAAAAGATAGAACAAAGAGCAGTCAGTGCTTCTGCTTAAAGGATATACAGCATCAGAGGGTAGTGGATAATTGTTGCCCAATAAATAGAATAGTAATTATATTACATATAAATAAAGATTGTCAGATTGGGGGAAGAATCCACTATGTTACCTACAAGAGGCACTCCTTAAATACAAGGACGTGAAAAGGTTGAAAGTAAAAGGATGGAAAAAGTTGTACTATGTGAATACTAACCAAAAGAAAAAGTGGTATAACTATAATAATTTTAAGGCAAGAGACATTACTTGTTATAAAGAGAGATCATCTATAATGTCAGAGGAGTCAACCAGTGTAGTAGATAATACAATTATATATGTGTATGCCCTCAACAACATAACTTTAAAATATGTAAAATAAAAAATTGGGTTAATTAGATATTAGTGATATTGGATCAATTAGATATCCTTAGAAAAATGATAAATCTTGACCTCTACCTCACTACATACGCAAATACCAATTCTAGATGGATTTTAGATCTAGATGTGAATGGTAAAACAGTACAGCTTTTTAGAATAAGGCATAGGAAAATATCTTCACGGCCTTGGAGAAAACAAAGATTTCTTAAACATGATACAAATCACGTAACCATAAAGGAAAAAAATAAGTGGTATTACATTAAAATTAAGAACTGTTCACCGAATGTCGGCATAAAGAGTGAAAATGCAAACAAAACAATCTTTTCAACAGAAATATTCTACAAAGGATTTGTATCCAGAGTATGTAAAAATTTCTGACAATAATAAAAAGGCAGATAATCCAATAAAAATGGACAAAAGACTTGAACAGGCATTCTGTAAAAGATGATATCAATCAGCCAGTATTCATATGAAAATATGCTCACTTTCAGTAGTTTTCAGGGAAATGCATATTAAAACCACAATGAAATACTATTACCCTTTCACCAGAATATCATTAATACTCAGGAGCAAAACTTCACAATCACTGCCCTAGAGTCCATTAGGCCTATAGCTTCAGCCCCACTCACAAATTTGTTTTTCTCTTAAGGTTCAGCTTTGTTGAGATGTTTATTATGCTTTTAAATTTTCTTTTTATTTAAATCTATGTTTGTTATATGTTTAGAGCAGAGTGAATTGCATCAATGTATGAATTTTCTGTACTATCTTTAGCTGATTACACTTTAACTGTGTTTTCTCCTCCTCCTTCTTTCTTTTAGGACTTGTTTTAATTCCAGGAGGTGCACTTGCCCAGCTTCTGGGAGGTATCATTGTTTCCATATTACACATGTCTTATAAAGCACTTATGAAATTTATAATGGTTACATCTACTATATCACTTGTACTACTTGCATTTGTAATTTTTGTACGCTGTGATCCAATACCATTTGCTGGGATCAATGAAGATTATGGCGGGTAAATATAATTTCGTATATTAGATTTTTACATCTAAACCCAACAACATATTTCTCAGTCAATTAATAATTATTCATTTAGTAATCCTTATATATTCATGTCATTCTTGGAATTATTGAACATGTAAAAGAAGTATAAAGTATAGTTTCACCTTTCATATTAAGGGCAGGAGTATCATAATGATAGCTTATAATATGACTGCTTATGCATTTGTAAAGTACTAAAGAAAAAATACATTGAAATGATTCAGAACCTAGAAGTAGAATTTTGTATTAAAGTGGGTAGCAAATAGGAGACAGTACTAATGGTACAAAGCCAGTCTTACCTTGTGTTCCTGAATTGGTGTGTCTGCCTTCTTATAGACATCAAAGAATGGAACTGAAGTACCTCTGAAAGTATGCATGAGTAATGTCTTCTTTAAGCTAAATATGCAAAAATTCAGAGAACTGGGCAGAGATTAATGTTAAATACAGGGGAACAGTACTGGAATTGAGCAAGTAAAACCAAAGAACTGAGCAAGTAAAATAAGAAAAGAAAATAATACTCCCATTTCCAGCTACAGTGGAGTAGCTTATGGCAGATCAATGCTCTCGCTGAGAACAACTAGAAAGCTGAATAAAGTGTTAAAAAATTTGTTCAAAGGCATCAAAAAGTTGTTTAGGCAAGTAGGGATTTAAAGGCCCAAATCCTGAGAGAGAGGCAAATCCTTGAGCGGAGAAGCAACCTTCTGCAGTTACTTTTTCCCCTAAGTATATTTGCTAATTCTGGACATTAGAAGAAGCTGAGAATTTGGGCAAAGAGTCTGGGCAAAAAGCATCTAGTTAGATGACTAGAAACCAGCACAAATTTTTGACAGACCTATGAGCCTAGAGAAAAAATTAGGGCCTGGAGTGGGGCAGGATATCAGAGAGAAGAAGGCGGTAGACAAATGAGACAGCAGTCTGTTGGGTTTTCACTCAGTACATTTGCTGAATTATGAAGTGAAGAGGCTGAAATCAAGCAGAAATCTTGTAAAAAGGGGAGAAAAATTTCAGCAGTATTGTGTTGCTCTGTAGATAACAGTTCGAGTTTAGAATGTGCTAGGGAGATGAACTGTAGTGAACATCACATTCTCTCAATTGATATCTCTGTAAGGCTGTGACATAGGCGTGAGAGCCTTTCTAAAGTGCTATAGCCTTGCCAAGAGTTAATTTGGTCTATAATTGGATTAATGTGGTCAGCCAGCACTGTAGCAGCAGAAAAGCAGCCTCAACACTTTGAAAGAATGATACCATTCAGAGCTGTAAAGTGTCTTAGGAGAAGGTCTTGCAATAAAAACAAGTTACCAGGCAGGCCAAAAACATGGCCAAAAACTATGACAATAGATTAGACCCACAGGGGATCCAGATATTGGCATTATCAAATAACAACTTTAAAATAGTATTGATAGGTGCAATAATACAAATGACTGTGAATTTTTCATCAGAAACCATGGGTTCAGAAGACAGTAGAACAATATCTTTAGAGTCCTGAAAGAAAAGAACTGTCAACTCATAATTCATTATCCAGTGAAAATATCCTCAAGAATTAAAATGAAATAAAGATATTCTCAGGTGAAGGGTAACTAATAAAGTCTATTGTTAGCTCTAAAAGAAATGAGAAAGTATCTCTTCAGTCTGAAGTAAAATGATGCTAGAGGAAACTTGAAACTTGAAGGGATAAACGAAGAGTAAAAAAATGATAAAGATATGAGTAAATAGACTAATTTTTCATCTTAAGTTTAAAATATATATGACTGTTGAAAGCAAAAATTATGACATTGTCTGGTGTGGTTTTTAAATAAGGTAGATGTAATACGTATGACAACTGTAACCTAAAGGGAGAGGGTAAAAGGGCCTATATGGTTTAAGACTTATTCATTTTAAATGGAGTGGTAAAATATCAACTTGAATTAGAAAGGTAAGTGTTTATCTATGTATGTATGTATATATATATGTGTGTGTGTATATATATACATAAAAGTATACATAAGTATATATATGTATATAGTTTAGGTATGTGTGTGTATATATATATGTATGTATCTATGTATATATGTATTCATAATGCTGCCTGTTTTTGTATGGTCTGCAAACTAAGAATGGAATAGGACCTCTAGTTTCTACTCTGATATATAAAGAGCTTGTAAGTCATCACTCCTGTTCTCACAACAAGAAAAGAGTTGAACAAATTAAAAATCAACAACTCTTTTTAGATTAATCAGAGACTTGAGATCACAGGACAAGCTGCTGTCCCCGAAACTAGAGAGAGAAGCAAATAGAATTGCAGTTTACTGGGAACAGAAGCCATTGGAGCTGAACATTAAACAGTAATTGACTAATTGCTGGAGGTGGAGCATGGACTAACTTGGAGTTAAAAACTCCTGGGGGCCCAGTCTTGGGGGGACTCCCCACACTTTCATGACTCATATCCCAGTGCTCCGTCAGGTTCTCACGTGAAGTTGAGAGAAAAATGCTCTTGTGTTTTGGGTGGGGAGGAGAGGAAAAGTAACCATTTTGAAATATTCCCCAGAGAAGTCTGCTCTTTGTAACAAAAGCCTGCCCTCTAGGGAAACTACTTTACCAGAGTTTTCGCTTACCAAACTTTATAAGGAGGGCAATCAGACAAGTCAACCCCCTCTACCTTCCTGTCTCATGTAAGGGAAAGAAAAAAAAAGGTTAAGAAAAACTTCTGAAGGTAACAGGGAGACTCAGGAATGCCCAGTAAAAAAAAATCCATAAAGCCTAAGATTTAACAATAAGATTATAGAATGCTTCCCCTCCACAATACATTACCACCTTATCGACATATATCTAGTGTAATAATAGGGATTTACAACTGAAAGAACTGCAAGACACACTCTATTTAATAAAGAATTTCTGGGCCGGCCCCATGGCTTAGCGGTTAAGTGCGCGCGCTCCACTGCTGGCGGCCCGGGTTCGGATCCCGGGCGCGCACCGACACACTGCTTCTCTGGCCATGCTGAGGCCGCGTCCCACATACAGCAACTAGAAGGATGTGCAGCTATGACATACAACTATCTACTGGGGCTTTGGGGGGAAAAATAAATAAATAAAATTATAAAAAAATAAAAATAAAAAAATAAAGAATTTCTAGTGAAAGACAATAGGGAAGACAAAAGGAGGATACCACAGAGAGTTGAGGCCTCTGATACCTATAGCTACAACAAACTTTAAACACAGCATAACTCCTAGACAAAAAAACATAAAACCTCACATTAAAGGCCTGTTTACCTCAGTGCTTGTTACCTGAAACATAATGTCTGGCTTTCAACTAAAACGTTATAAGGCACTCTAAAAGGCGAAAACTAAAAAGGTGACTGAAAAGGCAAAGCAAGCAACAGAAACAGACTCAGATATGGCAGAGATTCTGGAATGATCAGAATGGGAACATAAAATAATTATGATTAATATGCTAAGGGCGCTAATGGAAAGAGTGGACAACATGAAAGAAAAAATAGATAATGTAAGCAGAGAAATGGGAACTCTAAGAAAAAAATCAAAAGTAGATTCTAGGAAGCAAAAATGCTGTAATGGAAATAAAGAGTCTCTTTCATGGGCTCATCAATAGACTGGACAGGATTGAGGAAAGTATCAATGACTTTGAAGATGTGTCAATAGAAACTTCTCAAACTGAAAAACAAAGAGAAAAAAATGAAAAAGCCTGGAATATAATATCCAAGAACTATGCAGCAATTACAAAGGTATAACAAATATGCAGTGGAAACACCAGAAAGTGAAGAAGGAGAGAAAGGAACAGAAGAAATAAGTGAAGAAATAATGGCTGAGAATTTTCCAAAATTGATGACAGACACCAAGCCACTGATCCAGGAAGCTCAGAGAATACCAAGAAGGATAAATGCCAAAATGTCTATACCAGGGCATATCATATTCAGACTGCATAATCAAAAAACAAAGACAAAATCTTGAAAGAAGCCAGAGGAAGTAAAACTTAACCTATAGAGGATCAAAGATAATTTATAATAGACTTCTCGTCACAAACCATGCAAGCAAGAAGAGAGTGGAATGAAATATTTAAAGAGTTGAAAAAACCCCCCATCAACATAGAATGCTGTATGCAATGAAACTGTCCTTCAAAAGTGAAGCGAAAATAAAGATATTCCCAGACAAACAAAAAATAAGGAAACTGTCATCAGTAAACCTGCTTTGCAAGAAATGTTTAAAGAAGTTCTTCACAAAAAAGAAAAATATTAGTCAGAAATTTGGATCCATATAAAGAAACAAAGAGCATTAGAGATGAATAAATAAAGGTAAAATATAATCTTTTAGTTTTCTTATTTTTAATTGGGGTAATAGGTAACTGTTCAAAATAATAATGGCAATAGGGTATTCAGTGATTATAGTTTATGGAAGTGAAATGAAGAACAGCAATCTTATAAAAGAGGAGGGAAGAATAAGGTACCTGCACTACTCATGAAGTGGTATAGAGTTATTTGAAAGTGGACTTAAATTGCTTGTAAATGTATATTGGGAATTCCAGGGAAACCACTAAAGCGTTTTTTAAAAGAAGTATAATTGCTATGCTAACAGATAAGAGAAAATGGAATCTCATAAAATACTCAAAACAAGAGAAGGCAGAAAAAAGAGGGAAAGATGACAGCAAAAAAAGAAGGCAAGAAAATAAGAAAGAAACATTTGTTGGCATATAATTGTTTATACTAGTCTCTTATGATCTTTGTATTTGTGTTATATCACTTGTAATGTCTCCTCTTTCATTTATAATTTCATTTATTTGAGTCCTCTTTTTGCCTTGGCAAGTCTAGCTAAAGGTTTGTCTATTTTGTTTATCTTTTCAAAAAACCAGCTGTTAGTTTTGTTGATCTTTTCTGATGTGTTATTAGTCTCTATTTCATTTATTTCCACTCTGATCTTTATTTCCTTCTTTCTACTAACTTTGGGCTTAGTTTGTTCTCTGTTTCTAGTTCCTTGAGGCATAAAGTT